GGCGAAAATGCCTGTGCACACATTTAAGCACTGGAGAAGCCAGGAAAGTTAAAATCACACAGCTTATCTTTTCAATGGAATGAGGTGTTTAGCTGTTTTCCCAGAGTGTTGGGGGTGAAATGTAGTTTACAACCCAGTAATCCTTTGCTACCTGTTGAGCCAGGCCCCACCCATGTTTCCAGAGTTTATGTCTTACTTATCCCAGACCCTTTCCTCTTAAAACCTTGAGCCATAACCCCTTATGCCATAAAACTCATCCTTGTGGGAGATGTCATTTATACAACAGCCTAAGTGACTTCTGTGTTATCTTAGGACCAGACCAAATCCTGACTCCCATAGGCATTATGCTTATTTCAGTCATTCTCCTTAGACCATAAAACTTGGGCACTATCTCTGAGTCAACAGTACCCATTCTTGTGAAAGAAGCCAGATATACTCTGTAAGGACTCTCAGTGTAAACATGCCTTAAGATTGTTGGGCAAATAGGACTAAGCTAAATGTTATTTGAATACTTTTTTTCAAAATTGTGCTGTGCTTAATTATGGCTAAAGTAAAATGATCTGGGTTAGACTCTAGAAGTCCTAGCCCACACTGGTTACAAAGTTGGGCTGATCCAGGTATCATTCTTACCCTGATCATTTTTCCCTGAGACCCTCCCACAATATTTCCATTGTCTTGGTATTATAAATAATGCACCAGTATGCATTCTAATGCTAAAAAAGAATATCAATAAAATATATGACTCTCTTATTGATACAGGAAAAGAAAGAAAAAGGGAGTTGGATATCTCTAGCTACCAAGTATGAGATAAAAATATCTAAAGTAATATATATGTAGAGAGAGAAAGTTTTTTGGTAGAGGGCCTACTGGTCCAATCCCAGGACAACTGAATCTTGGTTTTGTTTTTATTTCTATATATTAGGACTCCTTGTGACATTGTCATATTTTATATGATATAATTGGACATGTTCATCCTGCATAAGATAATATGATGTATAAATGCAATGGAACACTATTGAATTTCAGTCATTTTCATTCTCGACAACCCTGTCATCCTTGCTTATTCCTTTCTCCCTCTTATTAGAACCTTTTCAAATATATATATTATTTCTACTTCGGCATCTTTTTGTTTTTGGTGACTCACTGATTTCAATTAGGATTGCTTGGGTAGGGAGTTATTTTTCTGGGGTATAAACCACTTAAAAAATTCTATACCATGAAAAAAATGACCTCTCCTACTCTAACAACCATTAACTGTTGGACAGCTCCTGGGAGAGGTGAGACCTCATGAGTTCTTCCCTGTCATGACAGGATATTGATGGCTCAGGCTTGTGTACACTTTTTGCAGGGGTCTAGAGCTGCTGCGAGTTCATGAATGCAATAGCCATGTAATGCTGATAAGACATCCCTTGACAGCACTTCATCTTTTGCCTTTATAATTTTTTGCCCCCTATTCCATAATGCTTCCTGATCTTTGGATGTGGTGATAAAGATGTCCCGTTTAGTATCATACCCATACTCATTTATTCTCTATACTTTATTTATATATTTATTTATTCTTCTCTCATGCAATATATCCTAACTGCAATTTCCCCTCCCTCTGCTCTTCCCAGCACTCCCTCAACACCTGCCCTCTCCCCTAGATCCACCACTCCTCCATTTCCCTTCAGAAAAGAGCATGCCTCACAGAGATATCAACTGAGCACAGCATAACAAGATTCAATAAGAATAGGCACAAGCCCACATACCAGGGCTTGGAGAGGCAACCAAGTAGGAGGAACGGATCCCAAAAGCAGACAAAAATGTAAGAGACAACCCCCACTCACACTGCTGGTTGTCCCATAAACACCCACTACACAACCATAACATATGTTCATAGGACCTAGTGCAGACCCATGCAGGCTCCATGACTGCGATTGCCACTTCAGTCTTGGTGAGTCCCTGTCAGTACTGCTTAATTAATTCTGTGGGCAGTGTTCTTGGGGTGCCCTTGACCCTACTAACTCCTACAATTCTTCCTTTCCCTTTTCTGCAGAGTTCCCTGAGCTCCGGGGGGAGGAAACTGATGGAGATCTCCAATATGAACTCTCTTCCTGCCTAGTGTTTGGCTGTGGGTGTCTGTGTCTGCTCCCATCGGCTGCTGAGAGATGGCCTCTCTGATGATGATGGGCATAACACTAATCTAGGAGTATAGCAAAATATCATTAGGAATCATTTATGGATTTTTTTTCTTTCTGTTCCAAGCCTCTGGGCTATCCCGTCTCTGTTTCTGGTCATCCTGGCAGCATTGGCCATGGGTGTTCTCTCTCCTGGTGTGGGCTTCAGGTTAGACCAGTCGTTGGTGGATTACTCCCACAAGCTCTTAGCCATCATTGCCCCAGCATATCTTACAGGCAAGAAGGGTTGTAGGTAGGTTTTTGCCTGGGTTGGTGTCCCAGTCCCATGACTGGAAGCCTTGCCTGGTTACAGAAGATGGCCAATTTAGGCACCATATCCTCCATTTCTAGGAGTCCTCACTAGGGCCAACCTCATAGATTCCAGGAAGTTTCCACTGCACTGGGTTTCCATATCACCCCCCAAATGCTCCTCAACTCCAGCTGTCTTTCACTGTAGTCTCTCCCTCCATTCCTTCCATCCCCCACCTGATCCCTCCTATTCCCATTCACACCCACCCCCAGTCACCTACAAAATCTCTACTTCACCTTCCAAGGGAGATCCATGCATTCCTTGCTTGAGCCCTCCTTGTTACCTAGCCTCTCTGGGTCTGTGAATTATAGCCTGGTTATCCTTTTACCTTACAGCTAATATCCACTTGTGAGTACCATGTTTGTCTTTCTGGGTCTGGATTACCTCATTCAGGAAGATCTTTTTTAGTTCCATCCATTCCCCAGCAAATTTCCCATTGTCATTGTTTTTAACAGCTGAGTAATACTCCATTGTGTAAATGTACCACATCTTCTTTGATTTTTAAAATTTAATTTATTTTAATCCATACCTCTACTAGCCCCCCCATCTCCCCTCTGCTCTTCTATCAATCCACTCCTCTGTTTCTGCTCAGAAAGAGTCAGGCCTCCTATGGGTATCAACAAAGCATGGCATATCAAGTTGCAGTAAGACTAACCACCTTCCCTTATATTAAAGCTGAGCAAGGCAATCCAGTATGAGAAATTGGTTTCCAAGAATCAGCCAAAGCATTGGGGACAGCCCCTGCTCCCATTGTTAGGACTCTCACAAATACTTCATGATACATAGCTGCCACATATATGTAGGTTGGTCCCTTGCAGGCTCCCTGGTGGTTAGTTGATTCAGACTCAGTGAATCAACTGAGCCAGATTCCTATGAGCCAGATTAGTTGATTCTGTGGGTGTATTCTTGTGATGTCCTTGACCTTTCTGGATCCTATAATCCTTCCTCCTTCTCTTCAGCAGGATTTCCCAGGCTCAGCCTGATGTTTGGCTATTGGTCTCTATATCTGTTTCCATCAGTTACTGGATGAAGGATCTCCGATGACTATTGGGGTAGTCACAAATCTTGTAAAGGGAGATGGTAAGTTTGGGCTATGTATTCACTATTTCTAGGACTCTTAGCTGGAGTCACCCTTGTAGATTCTTGGAAGTTTCCCTTGCAGCAGGTTTCTACCTGTTCCTGAAAAGCCCCCTTTCCAGTCATCTCTTTCACCACTCTACTCCTCTACCTGTCCCCCAATCCAATCCCTCAAGTTCCCAGCCCCACTCACCCCAAGTCCACCCTGGAGATTTTCTCTATTCCCCATTCCCAGGGAGATCCATGCATCCTCCTCTCTTGTTCCCTCCTTGTTACCTAGTCTTTCTTAGTCTGTGGATTGTAGCATGGTTATCCTTTACTTTACAGTTAATATGCAATGATGAGTGAGTAGTTACAATGTTTGTCCTTCTGAATCAGGATTACCTCTCTCAGGATGATATTTTCTAGTTCCATCCATTTACCTACAAATTTCCTGATGTCATTGTTTCTAACGGCTAATACTCCATTGTGTAAATGTACATTTTCCTTATTAATTCCTGGGTTGAGAGGCATCCAGGTTATTTCCAGGCTCTGGTTATCAGAAATAATGTTGCTGTGAATATAGTTGAGCAAGTGTCTTGTGGTATGATTGAGCATCGTTCACATATATACCCAGGGTGGTATCGGGGAGTCTTGAGCTAGATTGATTCCCAGTTTTCTGTGAAACTGCCATATTGATTTCCAAAGTAGCTGTACAAGGTTACCCTCCCACCAGCAGTGGTCGTGTGTTCCCCTTACTACAGATCCTCTCCAGCAAAAGCTGTCATTAGTGTTTTTGATCTTAGCCATTCTGACAGGTGTAAAATGATATCTCAGAGTTGTTTTGATTTGCATTTTTCTGATATCTAAGGATGTTGAACATTCTTTTATTTTTATTTATTTATTTTTATAATTGTAATTAGACCAATTTTAAATTAGAAACAAGCTTCTTTTACATGTCAATCCCAGTTCCCTCTTCCACCCCTCCTCCCCTGCGCCCCCACACCCTATTCGAACCCCTTTCTGCTCCCTGGGGAGGGTGAGGCCTTTCATGGGGAATCTTCAAAGTCTGTCATATCATTTGGAGCAGAGCCTAGACCCTCCCCAGTATGTCTAGGCAGAGAGAATATCCCTCTATGTGGAATGGGCTCCCAAAGTTCATTGGTATACTAGGTATAAATAACGATCCACTACCAGAGACCTCATAGATTTCCCAGACCTCCAAATTGACATCCTCTTTCTTTTAAGTGTTTCTCTGCTATTTAAGATTCTTCTGTTGAGAATTTTCTGTTTATGTCTATACCCCATTTTTAATTGGATTATTGGGTTTTTTGATGTCTAGTTTCTTGAGTTTTTTAAATGTATTTTGGAGATCAGCCCTCTGTTGGATGTGGGGTTGGTGAATATCTTTTCCCATTTTGGAGGTTGCTGTTTTGACCTATTAACAGTGTCCTTTGCTTTACAGAAGCTTTTCAGTTTCAAGAGGTCCATTTATTACTTATTGATCTTAGTGTCTGTGCTACTGGTGCTATATTTAGAAGGTGGTCAGGCTGGAGAGATGGCTCAGTGGTTAAGAGCACCAACTGCTCTTCCAAAGGACCTAGGTTCAATTCCCAGCACCCACATAGCAGCTCACAGCTGCCTGTAACTCCAGTTACAGGAAACCTGACACCCATTGCAAAATGCCAAATAATCACATAGAGTTATTAATCATGGGCCAGAGAGATGACATAGCCATTAAAGGCTCAGTGTAGCTGGATTTATGTTGATTTCTTTTATCCTTTTGGACTTCAGTTTTGCACAGAGTAATAGATATGATTTATTTACATTTTTTACATGCTGATATCCAGTTATGACAGCAACATTTGTTGAAGATGCTTTCCTTTTTTCTCCTATGTAATTTTGGCTTCTTTGTCAAAAATCAAGTGTTTATATGTATATGGATTTATGTAAAAGTTTTCAATTCAATCCTATTGATCAATATGTCTGTTTTTATGCCAATACCATGCTGTTTATATTACTGTAGCTCTGTAGTAGAGCTTGAGATCAGGGACAGTGGTACCTCTGGAAGTTCTTTTTGTACAGGATTGTTTTAGCTATCCTGAGTTTTTGTTTTTCTATATGAAGTTGAGTATTGTTCTTTCAAGGTTTGTAAAGAATTGTGTTGGAATTTTGATGGGGATTGCATTGAATGTGTAGATTGCTTTTGGTAATATGGTCATTTTTACTATGTTAATCCTACCAATCCATGAGTTTGGGATATCTTTCCATTAGGTTTCTCTGTGTAACATCCCTGACTGTCCTAGAACTCACACTGTTTACCAAGATGGCCTTGAACTCATAGAGATCCTCCTGCCTCTGCCTCCCAAGTGCTGGGATTAAACGTGTTTGTCACCACCACCCAGGTTTTATTTGATTCTTAATATTATTGTTTACTATAGAATTTTTCTATTTGATTCTGTTTTAGAATTTCTATATGCTCAATGCTATTTTCCATTTGTTTTTTTCATTGAGTATATTATTAACCATAATATTTTAAAGGCAATATCTGATAACCCCAACTTCACAATCCATGCATCTGTTGCTATTGTTTGTTTCCTTGATTTTAGTCACATAGCCCTACTTTCTGATGATTTGGGGAGAAGTGACAGACATTGTGTATGACAAACAACTATAGTGTCTCTGGATGCTGTTATCTTCTTCAAAGCAAGATAAAATACAGTTCCCAAACAGCAGAATGAGTGGAGGTAGCTCAGCACTCTACACAGTTGGAACTGGCTTATTACCAGATTTTTGCTGTGTGTGCACATGCATAAAACATTTTTATGAAAACTAAAAGTTGACCTTGAATGGGCATAATGGAAGGAGGAACAGCATCCATAAATTATGGTATGTCTAATACATGCCTAATATAAACAATGATATGAGAATAAATAAGCATTTTCTGAGGCACTAAGGGGCAAAAGAAGTCAAGTACTACAAAATAATAAGTCTGTTCTAACAATTCTTATCGTGCAGTTTGTACAAATAAATCAAATCATATTCCATATCTAATAGGATGTAATATTGTCGGGAGCCATACAGCTTGGCATGAACCTTTAGGTCAAACTTGGCAAGCCACATAGTTATAGACTGTCTTTTGATTATAAATGGCTTCTAGAAGCATGAGCACTCAGAAGGAACAACATGACCCAGACATCAATCCTTTGTTCCAACCACAAGCCCACTTACCTAAGTAAGCAAACCTCCTGCATCCTACCACTTACCTAGGTAACCCTCCCTCTCCCTGTGGGAAAAAAGTGGCCCTGACAGAAACCCAACAACACCCCAATGCTGTTGCAAAACATGTTTACTGGAGCAGAATGTTGTTACCCTCTGTGAACTCCGTGACTGTGCCCTGAACCCAGGCTTGAGACTAACCACCTCTTCCTGAGCTCACCCTCCCTATTCTGGTGCTAGGGTATAAAACCAGCCCTGGAGAAAAATAAAGAGCCTTCTGACTACCAAGCCAGCTCTCTGTGTTGTTAATTCTGACACCCTCTACAGATTCTCCGTCCCAGACCGTGCAGGCGTGACACTCCCCACCACCCATGAACTTTTTACCCTGCCAATAGCCTCCTTCTATAGTTTTCTAACATCCTGCTTGAACTAACAACTGGCTCTTGGCCCCCTCCCCTTTACCCTATACTACTGACTATATAAGCTAGCCTGGAAAAACTAAAATTTGCCACTTGATCAGAATCCTGTCTTGTGGTCATTCTCTCAAGTCGCTTGTCTCCATTCCCCTCCCTGGACTTCTTGCTCTAGGTTGCTGTCCTGCGGGTCGGGACAACTACATAATCTTGTAGGAACATCCTTTATTCCAATGAAATAAAGAGTATTATGAGCATTACAAATCTAGCCTCATATATGGAAGCAATTTAGTTAATAAAAACATCAAAGGCAGTGATGAAATGGAAAGATCTTGGGACAGGGCAAAACTGAGCTGGAAGTTGTAGTGCTCCGATTGCCAGGTAGCCGCCCTTAGGCCCTTGCTTGTCACTGTAGTGCTATTTGGAGTGATACCTAGCCACTCTTTGCGACAGCATCTGAACTCTCCACATATGTTTAGCACCATTTCGTTTTCATTTCTCCTCCACAACAACACCCACACTTTCAAAATCTTACAGATTTGACAAACCTATAAGAATACCTACAATGACCAAGGCTAGGAAACTGTGCTAATTTGCCTGTCCAAAGAAATGAATGGAAAACAGTTAAATGAATATAGTATAGACCAAAATGAATTCATTCAAATACATGCAAAAGGAAGGATAGGGGTAAAATAATAGTAAGGATATGAAAAAGTCATAAGAAATAAAACTTTTAAATAACTATCTAAAAACACCTGATACACAAGACCTAGAGTATCTGAGCTGTATCTTACCTCTATGATGACTAACTTTCATGGTATCAGAAGAGACTATGCAAGCTTCTGAGGGGAAAGAAGCCTACCTAGGTATGATATCTATGACCCACAACAATGACCAGCATGGCACAATATCCCTAAGCATGAAGTGGTAGCATGCATACTCTAGCAGTACCTGACAGCTCTGCAATTGAACTTAAGGCCTTCTAAACAGGAGAGAAATCATTCCTGGTCCTGGAAACTTGGGCTACTGAAGTCACAGATCTTGGAGAACCTATAACCACCACTTTACTAAACCAGCATAATGCCATCTCACTCTTCATCAAGGAAATTTATCTTTCCAAAAATATGGAAAGCATAATGGAAAACAACAACCAATCAAAATGCAAGGTTATGAAGCCCAATCTTAACTGGTACATCTACAACACAACTCCTGTCCTAAGACTCAAGGATCATTGTAAAGATGGAGCACAATGAACCAGAGTAATTGGTGTTTGCTGTGAGATTGTGTTTCCTAGGCATGCCAGAAACTATACTCATAAAGTCACACCAACATGACTGTCTCAACATGAACTGAACAAGGATGATACCAATACACATATTAACAGAGATGGGA